ATGTTCTGGAACTGGACAGAGGTGGTGGTGACTTTGCAACACTGCAAATGCTCTAAAAGAAAATGAGTTGTTCACTTTAAAATGGTTAATTTTATGTTGCAACTTTAACCTCAAAAACAAAAGTAAGGCAGAATTTGGGGATGGAATGGGTATTATTTTGCTGTTTCTCTTGCTAAGTGCAATTAAACCCTGCACACAGGCAGAGGTAGAGAAATAAGGCCAGTGCAGTAATGAAGGCCAGTGGGTTTCTTTTGGCTTCCATTGTCCCGGACCTGGATCTCAAGTAGCCAGAAAAGCTGTGAACCTCAACAAGCACAGAAAGCCCCTGGGAGAAAGTCCGTGAGGGGCTCTCTTGAGCCAGGGCCCAAGCAGGAGCTGGCCTACCGAGAACTGTCCTGCTTCGTCACAGGAAGACTAGCAGCCCCGCCCTGCAGTAGCAAACTTACCCCACTGCACAAGCAGGTAAATTTAGACGGACTTGGTGGCACCCTCTACACTCTGGGAGGCTGAGGCAGGAGGATCATAAGTGTGAGCCCAGCTTAGGCAACTTAGGTAGATCCTGTCTTAAAATTTAAAGAAGGCTGGGATGTAGCTCCGTGCAGAGCTCCTGGCTTTAATCCTCATTGCTGGGGGGAATAATCTGTACAGTATAAGTCAGTAAAGCTTGGGAAACAGTAATGTGGGGGCAGTTGTCTGGAGGGTCACAGTAACCCACTGCTATTCCCGCTGGGACAGAGGTTGGTGTGGGAGGGAAGTGTTGGCCTGGTTCACTGATCTCACAGTGCAGAGTTTTTGTTAGGAATTTTAAAAATGACTTGTAAAAATATAGGAACAAAATTTAGCGTCACAATATACCTTTTTCTTTCTTTTTTGGGGGGTGGGGTTTGGTGTTTGAGACAAAGTCTTGCTATATAATTCAGGCTGGCCTTGAACTCACTTTGTAGCCCAGGCTGGCCTCCAACTTGAAGCCTCAGCCTCCCAAGTGCTGAGATTACAGGCATGTGCCACCATGGCCTGCCCAATGTACTTTTTAATAGAAGTATAAAAAAAAGCCAGGCATGGTGGGGCACACGCCTATAATCCCAGCAGGGAGGCTGAGGCAGAAGGATCATTGAGTTCGAGGTCAGCCTGGGCTACAAAGTGAGTTCAAGGCCAGCCTGAACTGCATAGCGAGACCCTGTCTCAAAAGAGACAAAGAAAAAAAAAAATATATATATATATATAAAGAAAATGTGTAAGATATGTATGGAAATACAAATGCACAGGACATGACTAATCCCTTGGGCAGATTGCATTTTGTTGATTTCTGTGCATCACTTTTTCATGGTTTTATAAAGTCACAATCCTAACCAGGTGTGGTGGCGCATGCCCGTAATCCCAGCACTCGGGAGGCTGAGGCAGGAGGATCGTTGTGAGTTCGAGACCAGCCTGGGCTACAAAGTGAGTTCAAGGCCAGCCTGAACTGCATAGCGAGACCCTGTCTCAAAAAAGACCAAAAAAAATTAAAAAAAAAAAAAGTCATAACCCTACTGCATATGCAATTTTGTTTTTGATATCCTTTTTACTGCTATTATAAATTATTTATTTATGTATTTATTTATTGCAATACTAGAGACAGAACCCAGGGCCTCACATATGCTAGGCAGGAGCTCTACTGCCGAGCTGCACCCCCAGCTCTTCATCCTCCAAAAGCATTGTTTTTAATGGCGGCACTGTGCGGTCATTCGTACTGTAACAAGACCACAGGTTTCAGAGCCAGGCAGGCTTGGGTCATAGCTCCGCTTCTATATTTAGGCTTACAAGTTAGTGGGATTGCTTAATCTCTCTGAGCTCATTTTCCCTTTTTTGTTTGTTTGGGTTTTTTTGGTACTGGGAATCAAACTCAGGATCTTGCATGTGCTAGGCAGGTGCTTGTGCCGCTGAGCTACATCCCCAGCCCTCTGAGCTCATTTTCTCATCCATAACATGGGGATGATAGACTCTCCCATCATCTCTGTTAGGAGAGAATGGCGTAGGACCCTTGCTGGGTGTGGTGTCACCTGCCTGTAATCCCAACACTTGGGAGGCTGAGGCAGGAGGATTGCTGCGAGGCCAGCCTATACTACATATTGAGACCCTGTCTCAAAAAGGAAAAAAAAAAAATGTGTAGGACCTCAGAACTCTAGGTTATCTGCTACTGGGTGTCCACTAAGGGTGTACTATTATGGACATTTGGGCCTCACTAATATTTTTTCACTAAGCGTTTTCCATGCGTGGAATTGTTCCTTTAGGATACATTCCCAGGAACAGATTTTCCAGGTCCAGTATAAGGATGGGGGCATTTTAAAGGCTGAGGTCTAGATGCAGAAAGCCAAGCGGCACGCCTTTCAGAAGGTTCCCCTCAGGAGGGCTGGCTCCGGGTGAGGAAGGTCTTCCGGGACCGCGCCGCACCGCGCCGCCCTTCGCTGGGCGCCTTCCCTTCTAGCACGTGTTGCTAATCTGCTAGCTGAAAGCGGCAGCTCGCTAATCACACTGGTTCTTCTTCGGTGTCGGTGTGATTGAGCCTTAGGAAAACCAAATATTAGGCTGAAACTGCAAGTGGAGTCTGACTGTGCTCTGTTACAAATCCGCAAAGGACAGAAGGGACCAAGCGGTGGCACTAGATCATCACAAAAGGAAAGCCGTCTCCGCGCTTCACGGACGCTTGCCGGCTCACCCAAAGGACGCGCTACTGAGCTCACCCTCGGTTTCCTCCTGCAGAAGGTCGTGGCGCGGGCGGA